CATGCCTGACGGAGCACAGGGTAGACATGATGTCATGCCTGACAGAGCACGGGGTAGACATGATGTCATACCTGATGGAGCACGGTGACTGAGTCACTTCCTGTTCTCTTAGATCTATGTTCTGGGTGTTGTAATGTCTCTGAAATACTAGCTCTCCTCTGCGTAGACCTGGGTTTAGAACTTGGAACTGACCCAGCACAGTAAGCAGATTTTCACAGAACATTTACTCAGCGAGTGTTAGTCATGTCAGTCATGCGCTGGGCATTTTGTTAGGAGAGTTGGCTGTGTATTAGTGTTTGTTGCACACCTGAGGACCTGAGTTCCATACCAAGAACCCTCATGGTGGACAGAACCAACTCCTGAAAGTTATCATCTGACCTCTGTACACGCACTGTGCCGTGCTTGCACACACACAAATAAATAACATGTTTATAAGTAAGTCATCAAATAGGACTAAGAGCAAGGGTACCAGTCCAGATATTCTAACATGTTCCTATAGTCTCAGCTTCTGGGGTAAAAGCAGAATGGAGTCGTGAGTCAGGATATCCTGGGCTGCAGAGTAAGACTATCTCGAAAGGAAGGAAGGAAGGGAGGGAGGGAAGGAGGGAGGGAGGGAGGGAGGGAGGGAAGGAGAGAGAGAGAGAGAGAGAGAGAGAGAGAGAGAGAGAGAGAGAGAGAAAGAAAGAAAGAAAGAAAGAAAGAAAGAAAGAAAGAAAGAAAGAAGAGAAAATGAAGAAAGCAACCTAACGGTCCCTGCCGACCTTAGAAGCTCAGTCTAGCAGACATCTCTGAGAATTGGGCATTAACCCTGACACTGGACTCAAATAGCAGCTCTCCTCTGCCTTTCCTGCCTCCTAAAGTGCTTGATGATGCACTCCTCTTGTCTTCCCACAGCAAGATCCTCCTAGGGGAGGGAGTCGGTTGGTTGCATTATTTTCATCTCGGAGTCTGTCCTCCGGGTCCATGCAGGTACTGCATTAGCCTTGATGAAGATGCTCTTCAGCACCAGCAGCCCTGGAGCTGACGAGAAGTGTCACTCACTGGTTTTCCAACCGCTGCTCACCTTCAGTCCCCTCCGGAGCCCTCGCTACCCCACTACCCTCACTTTCTTCACGGAGTGCTTCTGTCGGGATTTCCAGGACAAAAGCCACAGGGTTCCGTGTAACTTTGCAGGAACTGCTGGAGAGCTGCTCTCTCACCAGGGGCTCTTAGTAAAGCTCTGCTTCCACTTTCCTGGAAATACTCGTCATGGGGCTGGGAGAGGCACAGCAGCTACAAGAGTTCACTGCTCTTGCAGAGGAGCCGAGTTCGGTTGCTAATGCCCACATTGTGCAGGTCACAACCACCTATAAATTCCACTCTGGGAAGTGTCCGACATCTCTGGGATCTGCAGGCTTCTGCACTTATATGCACATAATCATATACAGATACATATTATTAAAAAATAAATGAATCTTTAGTAAAACATGTCATGCTGGGGTGCAGTAAGATACCCCAAAGTGTAGCTCAGACTCTAACATATTTGCCTGGTACGCTCAAGGCTCTGGGTTCAGTAGACAGCACTGAAAAAAGTAACGACTTAGAGTTGCCTGGTATGGTGACACCTGTAATCCTCTGACTTCGGAGGTGGAACAGGAGGAGTTAACATTCCAAGCCATCCAGGGGTCACATAGAAAAACTGTCTCCAAGACATAAACAGGCCAGTGAGATGGCTCAGCCCATGAAAGCACTCGCTGCCAAGCCTGACGGCCTGAGTCGGAGTGGCTGAAGGAGAGAACTGATTTCCCCAAGCTGTCCTCTGATCGCCACACTTGTGCCATGTGTACATGCCCCACCCCCGCTCCCAATAAATAAATAATAAATGTAATAATAAAAGGGTTTTAATTTGTTATAAGGGTGAAAGGAAACAGCATAAACCACAAAACAGCATCCCCAAAGAGTAACCTTTGGCCCTGAGTGTTTTGTTACAAATGTGACTGGAATGAGACTGGCAAGTTTCCAAGGCAGGGGCACAGTGTTGAGTAGTGAGGTGCACTGCACAGTGAGATGGAACAGGTCTGAATCCAAACAGTGTTCCTCTGGACCATCCTACGTAATCCTAGAGTTAGCCCGCTTAATCACTGGTAGATCCTTTGGGGAAATGAAGTTGGAAAGGGAACCGAGCTATTTTTCATTTGTGGTATTCAGTCTTAGGGTGGACCCATGAGAGGCGTGGCAGTGCATGTCTGTAATCCCAGCACTGAAGAGGTTTAGGCAGGAGGATACCATTGTTGGGATTTTCCTTTTTGCATTAAACTGAAACTCTGCCACACTGTAAAGCTCTTGAGTTACTTTATTTTAGAGAAATGCTTTTCCTGTGCTAACAGGAAAGCTAGATAGTCCAGCACTAGCCTTAGCTATAAAGTGTGGCCATTTCAAAAACAAAACACACAAAAAGTGGTCTCTCCAAGGTCATAGAGACCAGGAAGTGTCTTTGTTGGTTTTTGTTTTCTGCAGTGCCAGGAATGGAAACTGGGGCTTTGTGTATGCTGGGCAAGTGCTAGCCCACTTAGCTGTAATTGCCAGCCCCCAGAGCACAGGCTTCTGCACCTTCCTGTTTTGTTTTGTTTTACCCTTTGTACCCTTCATCCCTTAGATGCTGCATTTCTGGCCCGGGAGAAGGCGAAGGCTGACGCTGAGTGTTATACTGCTCTGAAAATAGCAGAAGCAAATAAGGTAAAGGCCTGACCACACACACACACACACACACACACAGAGGAAGTGATTGGGCTCACTGCTCCCTGCGCCGTCCTCACAACAGTCCTGAGAAGCCCCATGCTGTTAGAGATAGGCACTTCTCTTAGCAGGAAGCAGTAGGAGAAGTTTCATTCTTGTGTTAGACATGGAAGCTGTTGCTACTCTGTCATAAGACCTTAGTTCACTTTCTCTTAGAAAAGTGGTTTCTAGGTAACAGGAAGACCTTGGAAAGTAGAAGGAGCATGTCTGCTTGACAGAGACCCTCTCTGATGAAAGTTAAAAGGGCACCACCAAATTTTTCTCTGATCTTCTCTCTCCTCTGCTTTCTTACTTGTATGGTCCAGCTCAAGCTGACTCCGGAATATCTGCAGCTGATGAAGTACAAGGCCATTGCGTCCAACAGCAAGATTTACTTTGGCAAAGACATCCCCAACATGTTTATGGATTCCGCAGGTGGTCTGGGCAAGCAATTTGAGGGGCTGACTGACAAGCTGGGTTTCAGCTTAGAAGATGAGCCCCTAGAGGAAACCACAAAGGATAATTGAAAAAAAAAATGTATACATCCTCTGATTGTGACGCTTAGAGAGAGCTTTATTTTTTAAGATGAAACCGAATGTTCCTCCTTCCCGCACTACCTTCTTTGACTCTTCAAGTTACTGTGGTAAAAAGGAAGATGTGGACATAAATCTACCCCTTCTGGGAAGGGCAAGCAGATGGAGAATTGTTTTTTAGTTTTATTTCTGATTCAGGTAAGTAGGTTGTATGACTTCTGGTAAGGTGTGTACACCATGGATTCGACCTCTGTTCTGCAGGCACCAACCTTGTCCCTTTGAAGCTGGCTTAACTGGGGAAACTATTAATAAGAAGCGGGAGATGTGTGGCTGCTGCTTCCTCGTGGTTTGAAAACGTGCTCCACGGTGCTCTCCTTGCCTCTAACGTAGGCAGTGTCTGCATGTGGGACCCCCGCCGACCAGGCCTCTGCTGTGGAGCGTCAGCTGCAGAGAGAAGTGTTCTGCCACTTTATTTTTACAGCGGGATGGGTTATTTTAGAGCTAAGCTGGGTTGAGCCCTCCTTAGGAAGAACCTGGTGCTAGGTTTTTGCAAGATTTTGTATACACTGTACTTTTGCCCTAGTGTTTTCTGACTGCATCTCACCGCAGCAGGGCTCAGTCACTCCACACACTCCTTTTTCAGAATGTTCACCTGATCTGTGATTTGATTTCTTCTTGAATCATCTATCCATTAGTTCCACTCTGCATCAAGATGGGAGCAGACAAGTGTTGTACTAGCTGATGAAGCAGGCTCCTTGTACCTGTCAGCCACTGTACTGCTGTTTGGCATTTATGTGTATACTTTTAAGAGCAAAATGTCTTTATCATTGTGGAGATTCTTCCTTGAAGAGCTCTTGACACTGTGGAGAGAAAGGGCCAGCCAGTAAACATCCAAGTAGTAGTGCCTATGCCTGTGCTGGGAGTTATGTGACACACTGAGAAAGGGATCTCCTAAGTCCAGACAGCAGGCGCTGCTTGGGAGTGAACGCCAGAGCAGCTGCACAGATGCAAGTCAGAGTTGATGCCCATGCCCCTGGGGCTGCATTGAGTCCCCATGTTGTGTTTTTCATTGCTAGTGAGGAAAACAATGAGTCACCCAAGTATAACAAATACAATGGGAAGAACAAATAGAAAGGTATTTCTTAGATCCTGAAATTGGCCTAGGTGGGGGCAGGGCTGCAACTTGTATGCCTGTGAGTGCTGCACAGAAGGCCTTTGTGGAGGGCCTTTTATGCAGAGTTCATTTACCGCCATGCGGTACCCTGTGTGCCCATGCCTAGCTTCAGCTTAGGACATGGCCTTATTAGCTGTCCCCACACCCTTCCCACACACAAAGCACTTACTGTCATCTTTTAAGTGAATACTAGAAATGATATTTTCTGGCATTTCTCATTCTTGGTTCTATACGGCAGGCCAGTTCGCTTCTAAGTGACTGGCAGTAAATAGGCTTGTCAAGTGTTTGGGTAGCATTTAGCCTGCCTAAAAAGAAGCAACGTGTTAATTCCGCCTACTTTGGATGTTGCCCTTGTCTGTTCAAACTCCTCATACTGAGACTTCTCAAGCCACTGGTCCAGGTCACAGTTTGTACAGACTACAAAATGTTTCTGGAAGGCATAGATTTTAACATGCTCAAAAGTTCTTGCAAACTCTTTCGGGTTTTTTTTTTCTCACCAAGATCAACTCCCACTTTCTGCTGCTAACCACTTGTTGAGAGCAGCATGCTGTACCCAGCGTCCCCTCTTCCTCCTGAGCCTCAGAAAAACACTATTTCCTTGGAGTCAGTGCAGGAGTAAGGGTATGTCCCAAACAGCACCCTCTTAGTCTGAAAGTGTCTGCTACTACCATTCAGATAGCTCTACCCTTGCTCACAAAGAGCCTCAAGAAAGTCCTGCTGCAAGTGCTGCTTCCCTGCCCCTTGAATGTCACTTCTTTAAACAAAGCATATGAATGTTCCCATGTCATTAACATAAATTCAGTAGTTGTCAGTATCTGTCCCAGCAGTAAAATCATGGAATTCAGCTCTCTTTTTTAGCATGGGATACCTAACCCATCTGTCTGTGTGACTTTGTTTTTTGTAATACTAGAAAAAAAGTGATTGTAAAGCATTTAAATTCTAAACATGTAAAATGTGATAAGCCTACAGTTTTGTAGGCAGTAAAGTCATGGCTGCTATTTATATAGAGAACTTCTATCAAAATAAGTTACTGTTTGTAAAATTCAGTTTTTGTAGGATTTTCCCAAGGCACAGCCACCTTGGTAGAATGTTTCTCACTTAACTTTGCAGAAGCTATTCATACTTGGGAGAGTTTTTAATCATTTTTCAATATATGGTCAGAATGTTTGTAAGAAAGCCTAAGCTTAATAATTTTTTATAGCTAAAAATAGATGTAGAGGAATCAGTATGGTTACTGAGTTGAGGGCACCACTGAATGAGACTATAATACAGTTATCTAAAAAGGGAGCTGTTTCATACATGATGTGTGGGTATGTGTGTGTCTTGTGCTGACCTGAACTACCACAGGGTGGAGTTTGGTAAACTATACCTTGACAAATAGCTGCTCTGCCTGTAAACTTCACCGACTTTGCTTGTTTCCCTATAAAATCTGTAATGGGCAATCGTGTGTTTGTACTTCCATTCCTTTTTGTCCCTAATTCTGTGTAAACTGGTGATTGCATAGTCAAAGCAATTTTTCCAGTGTGCCCCGAGGTCATTAGTGAGTCTTTATAACTGAAAAATGATTCTTATTCTGTTAATCATTCCACAAATGATACTACTAGATTAATTACCTTGGGTTACTAGCTCCAGGAATTGTTAGACATCGCAAAAAGTCTCATGTGAATATACTTAACATTTTGGATTTAATTTCTGTCTTGCTAAATAAAATGTCTTTGTCTTTATGGTTTTTATTCAAATAAAACTTGCCAATAGCTAATACTAGGATAGGTGATAGAAATAAAACTTTCCTGTTAGGCTTTCCTGAAAAATGAACCCAGGGGATGTTCTTCCCAGCCTGGTGCTGCTTTATCCCAGCACTCAAGCCGAAACAGGAGGACCTGCTTGAGACCATCTTGATCTGCATAGTGAGACCCTGTCAAAAACAAACAATACATTGCTGCATTTCATCAAAAGATAAATGCATTCCCAGTTGACCCAAAACTTATGTGACAGCAGTTTAAGTGGGTGACTCCCAAACTGGGCACTGGCAAATTGCCTAGTGTCAGCAGATAAATGTAAATGTCAGTTGATTTTACAACTCTATCCCATCCCAAATACTGCACAAAACTTAAATACAAGTATCTGCTCTTTATCTGAAATTCACATTTAACTGGGTATTTTAAATAACAAGTTTCAGCCAGGCAGTGGTAGCGCATGCCTTTAATCCCAGCACTTGGGAGGCAGAGGCAGGAGGATCTCTGTGAGCTCGAGGCCAGCCTGGTCTACAAGGGCTAGTTCCAGGATAGCTAGGACTGTTAGCAGAGAAATTCTGTCTCAAAAAAAAAAAAAAAAACAAGTTCCATTTTTTTTTTAAATGTGTGTGTAGGACAGGGTGTTTTGCCTGCATGTTTGCCTGTGTATATGCATACTTGGTACTTAGGAAGTCCAGAAGAGGGTGTGGAGCCCCTGGACTGGAGTTACAAGCAGCTGTGAGCTGCCATGTGGGTGCTGAGAGTCAAACAGGGGCCTCCTGAAGAGCAGCCAGTACTCTTACCCTCTGAGCCATTTCTCCAGCCCTCTGGTTGTATTTTTTCATTATTGTCTTCTTATATCAAACTGTGCTTTATTTCTTTTTGAAAATGATTCAGCGGACAGTGGTGGCACACACCTTCAATCCCAGCATTCAGGAGGCAGGAACAAGGTCAACCCCCTCTGCGAGTTCCAGGACAGCCAGGACTACTACACAGAGAAATCTGGCCTTGACAAAACAAAAATTACTCTCTCCAAAAGAAAGAAAATGATTCTTCCACATTGTACTTTGATCATAACCCCCCCATATACATACACACACACATATCCTCTTAGTCTCTTCCCTGCCGACCAAACCTCTTCCCAACTCTTCCCTTCCTCCTCTGGCTTGCTCATGAGCCCCAGTGGGGAGTTCCTGGGGCGAGGGCAATGCCACTGCCACAACTACCGCAAGCTCCCCAGAGACTGGCGGGGCCTCACATGCTCCGTCCTTGTTCACAGTGGAATGTTGATGGACCCAGTCTTGTACAGGTGACCACTGTCCAAGAGCCATGCCGTACCCAGAAGATCACATGACTTCACAGCGCTCCTCCCTGGTCTCTAGCTCTCACATCTTTTCCCACCCCTCTCTTCCAAGATGTTTGAGCATTGGCAGCTGTGATACAGATGCTCTGTAGGGTTTAACAGTCACTTATTTTGAACACTTTGACCAGTGGTGATTGTATTAATCATTACTCATAAGAAAAACTAAGGCTGAAGTCAGCACTAATCTATAGCTATACTTAGAAGGCAGATTGATGTCCTTTTAGCAAAACAGCAGTAGTAGGTTATCCACTAGGTCCAACGATCTCTCCATCCATGGACTTTTGACCAGGTTTACAGTAGGCGTGAATTCCTCCTCCGAAGTGGGCCTCAGATACTGTCAAAAAGCAGTTGGCTGCCCCCATAACAGTCACAGCACTACTGCTATGCAAGTATCTTGCCAAGCAGGTTGATATTGTAGCTCGTGAGCTTCAATGCTGAGTACCACGGATGACTTTTCTCCCCCAGTAGCCTGCACAGCACCCTCTGGCATTATCAAAGTTAACCAGCAAGGAGGAAGCTTACAGCTCATTTCTGGTCTGGTTTCTCTATATTTTGTAACCAAAGAGTATGATGTCTTCAGCAACAGGATGTCATCATCTAGTTAGGCAACCGAGCACTGGCTTTGGCAGGTGTTCGGCACTCTCAGCCAGGGTAGCCTCCGACTTCCCCAAGATGGTGCCAGCCTCTGCAGTCAGCCTCCATTGGGGGCGGTGGCTAGGTGGTGAACGGCGATTGGGCCTCACGGGGAGGGGGCGGGACCGGAAGTTGTTCTCCGCGGGTCGCAGGTCCTCCGCTGGGCATCCTCCCGGGAATGTGGAGAGCTGGCAGCATGTCGGCGGAGCTGGGAGTCGGGTTAGCGCTGCGGGCGGTGAACGAGCGAGTCCAGCAGAGCGTGGCACGACGGCCGCGGGTGAGGACGGGCTGAGGGGGACGCCTGCGTGGGGCCGGGTGTCACGGTGACACAGAAGGGGGTCCCGAAGGGGCGGGGGCTCGCGAGGTTTCTTCAGCGCTCTGGCCTCAAGGCTGGGGCTTCCTGGAGGTTGGCTTGGCTGGAGAGAGGGTGCTCACTTAGGGAAAGTGACTCGTCGTTTGCCGTTCCTGTCGCCACGGTACTAGAGCCCTCAGAGGGTCACATCCACCCGCGATCACGTGCTTTTGCGGCGGAGACCCGTGGTCAAGGTGCGAGACATGGAAAAGCGTTGCCGCCACAGAGTAGCGGGGAGCTGTCAGGAGCCCAGTCACAAGCGCTTTTAATTTTCGTTTTGGTTGTTTTGTCCCCTGTTGGACTTCCTATTAGACCAGAGTCAGTTATCTGCCTTTCTCCGTGCAAACTAAGCTACATTGTGTGGTGAGACAGAAAAGAAAATAAAAGCCCTCTCCTGTCTAGTATTTATGGTCTCAGACTTCAAAATGATGCCTGAAGACCCCGTCTTTTCTTAACTGATGTCTAGACGTTAAACAAGTCCTGTTAACTTCTCTTGCCCTCGGTTTCCATATTGCTGAAGGAAATAAGACGACCCTTGGAGCTCTTACCTCTTTCGTGGCAACAGTGTTCTGTTTCCCCAAAGATAAATCTAGCTGGGCGTGGTGGCACACGCCTTTAATCCTGCCCTCAGAGGGCAGAAGCAGGTGAATCTCTGAGTTTGAGACCAGCCTTGTCTAAAAAAAAGTGAGTTCCAGGACAGCCAAAGATACTCAGAGAAACCCTGTCTCGGAAGGAAAAATAGAAGGAAAAAAGAAAAAGTCTTAGGAGTTCCTTGATGCACCTCACTGGGAGGTTCTTAGGAAATTAGGCCTTCTTGAATCAGGAAGCTTTTGTCTCTGGAAGCCTTCAGTTCATCAATGTGATGCCAGGAACTAGACACAGTCCATGAGAGCCAGGTGACCCAGTCCCTCAGAAGGAAGCAACAAAAGACTGTGTGATAATTAATGTGACTTCTCTGAGTCCTTGAGAATACCGCGGTTCAGTGAAAGTCTCAGAAATGGTGGGGTACGTGAAGATAGCTGTGTGAGGATCCCTGCGGCTGAAAGCAGGGAAACCCTGCATTTTATGTAACAGATGTGGGAAGAGTGTGGATGAATCTAATCCTGAATACAGAATTGTTGGTGTCCTGTTGTCAGCTCTGCTATTGGTTGGTTGAATCATAGGTTGACCAGTACGTTGTATGCCTTTACCCCAATCGAGCCCCTGTCGGAATGAAAGCAAGTTTTTTTGGGTTTTTTTTTTTGTAATTACGTTTTAATAAATTAGAAATGAGTTTCTAAACTGTTGACTTTGTGGTGCGGGAAGCCTGGAGTAACCTCCCTGCTTAATAGGATGCCGTCGTCCCTTAATGAACTGATTCTGTTGTATTTTTTTTTTTTTTTTGCTATTGTTTGTATGTTTTGGGGGCTGGAGATGCAACTCAGAGTTTAACAATGCTAAGCAGACACTCTGCCATTGCTACTGTAACTGTAACTGTATCCTCCACTCTATAAAGTGATTCACCGACATGTGGGTTTATGTACAAGTGCCTGCCTTGCATGTGCATGCACACGGGTGGATGAGTGATGTATTCTGGGAGGTGCAAGTGCACATGCCCATGCATGCGTGGAAGCCAGAGGTCAATGTCATCTTTCTCTATCACTCTCCATTTTACATTTTGAGTCCTTGAACCTGGCGCTGGCTAGCCCAAGGATCCACCTGTCTCGAACCCCCTCCAGTGGGGTTACAGACAGGTGGCTCTGCCCCTATCTTTTATATGGAGGTTGGGGTCGAAACTTAGGCACTTGTCTTTGTATGCCTAGCATTTTACCCACTGGGCTATCTTTTCTGCCTCAGTGCCAAGCTGAGATCTGTGCCAATCTATTTTACAAGGTGTATCTATCTTTTTGCGGGGGGGGGGGGTGTTTGTTTGTGTTTTGAGACAGGGTTTCTCTGTATAGTCCTGGCTATCCTGAAACGCTCTCTTGTAGACCAGCATGGCCTCGAACTCACAGAGATCCGCCTTCCTCTGCTTCCTCAGTGCTGGGATTAAAGACGTGCGCCACCACCGCCCGGCACTACAAGGTGTATCTTATTGAAGCAATATTTGCACGCTTGCGCTCACGTGGCTCTTTCTGTCTTGGCAGGATCTCCCAGCCATCCAACCCCGGCTAGTAGCGGTCAGCAAAACTAAACCGGCAGACATGGTGATTGAGGCCTATGGTCATGGCCAGCGCACTTTTGGAGAGAACTATGTAAGACACCTCTTATAAAGAGCCCTTGGAGGAGTTGTGACTACCAGGCTTCTGACTCGTTTTGTTCTTGCTCCTTAGGTTCAGGAACTACTAGAAAAAGCATCCAACCCAACGGTGCGTAGACACGGGAAGTGTTGGTTTCGTATAGAAGTCTTAGCTCTTAGCTGAAGGTTCAACCCATGTTGGTGGTGGAGTTTTAGAGCAGAAAGCTGGGCTAGGGACAGAAATTGTCCACGCTTCCCTCGAGCCCCAAATAATTCATAGCTAGCCTTTCTGTCTTTCTTCAGACTTTAATATTCTCTTTGTGTCTGTTTGTGGATAAAGATTTAGGAGCTTGCTGAGTCTCGAGAGATTTGAAAGCATAAACCAGAGGCTATAGGATGCAGCCCAGTGGCAGAGTACTTGCCTTGAAAACAAATCACTTTTGTCTCTAATGAATACCTGATAAATACAGGGAGTTGATGGGAACAAGGAAGGGAAACAGCATTAGGCTTCGATGACTCTCTGGGCTTCCTTGTGTCTCAGTGGGAGACTGGCTAAAGAGGGCAATGGTGGTTCATCAGCCGAGGGACGGGACAGGCGTGAAGGGGCTGAGCTGACAGGGCCTTTGTGGAGTCCATATCAAATGATTCCCTTTTTCTCTTCAGATTCTATCTTCCTGTCCTGAGATCAAGTGGCATTTCATTGGCCATTTACAGAAGCAGAATGTCAACAAATTGATGGGTAAGACAAAGTCTATCAATATGAAGACAGGCCTTCTCTGTGACTGTGTAGCTTCTACCACCTTCTGAGGAAACAGCTCTGAGAACCCTCCTAGCTCACCATTTCGAATAAAACATAGTAAAATAAAAATAAGAATGAAGCATAAGGACTGGGAGGGGGTGTGGCTAAGCAATAGAGTGTTCCTAGCACTTATAAGGCCCTAAGTCAATCCACAGCACTATAAACAGTAATTACTAACTACAGAACTATTTCACCGTGTCACGTGAGGATTTCAAATAACTTCTCTCAGATATCAAAATTCAGGAAACCTGTATTTTTCCCCCTTTTTTGAGGGAGTTAGGGTGAGGCTGATTGTGTGTATAGAGATCCAAGGACAACACAGAGGAGTTGCTTCTCTCTTTCCATTATGTGGATCCCAGGGATTGAATTTAGGTTGACAGGCTTGGCGGCAGGCACCTTTACACTAAACCGTATTGTCTCCCCTGGTGTCAGCGTTATCAGAGTGCAATTGATAAAACCATATCCAGCTACAATAAATTGCACACATTGAAAGCGTCTGATTTGATAAGTTTTGGCATAAAATTACAACCTTGAAACCATTACAAGAATTAAAACAGTGGGCACCCATCGCCCCAGAGGCTCCTTCCTATCGTCTTGTCCAGGTGCTCCTTACCTGTTTCGCTGCTGCAAATTCTATGTTTTAGAATTTTGTATAAATAGAATTACTTAAAAAAGAAAAAAAAAGTGTCTGATCTCTGTCAGTCCTCATCATCAGGCATTTGATCTTTGTCATGTTTGTGTGCTTCCTTCATCTTATTCAATAGTATTCCACTGCATAAAAGTGTTATTACAATTGCATATTACAATAGTATACCACTGCATAAACATATCACAGTTCTTCATTCACATTGATGAATATTTAGTTACTTGTAGTTTTGCAGCATTACAAAGAAGCTCCTATACCGGATGTGGTGGCCCAAGCCAGAATTCCCAGCACTCAGGATTCATAAACAAATGTAATAAAAAATAAAAGAAAATTTTGAACTGTTATTTCATCACACTTTATTTTTCCTCCCCAATTACTTATTATACTATTTCAGAGTTCATTATTTGTTTTCGCTTCTTCTGCAGAGGCAGGCAGAGCTCTGTGGTAGAGGCCGCTGGTCTACACAGAGAGTTTCAGACTAGCCTGCCTCAATAAGATAAAATAGAGGGGATGGAGAGATGGCTCAGAGGTGAAGAGCACTTCCAGAGGTCCTGGGCTTGATAACCCAGCACCCATATGGCAGCTCACAACTGTCTCTCATCAGGGGCTCCAACACCCTCTTCTGGCCTCCTCAGGCACTGGGCACAAACGTATACAGATCTTACTGCAGGCAAACCATCCGTATGCCTAAAATAAAAAAAATTAAAAATAAAACTTAAAAAAATAAGTAAATAAAAATTCCTCCTGTATATCATTTTGAATTGTTTTATTTTGTTGAGACAAGACCTGGCTGTGTAGGATAGAATGAGCTTGAACTCACCTTCCCCCTGCCCTGTCACCCAAATGCTGGGATTATGAATATGTGCCACCACAATCTTTAGTGGTTTAAATTTGACAGCCATGTAGTGTGAGGTTTGAGCATGTAATATACATGTTGACCCTGGTGCCCAAGTAGTTTCAGATTTTGGATCTTCAATTTTTATACTATAAATTCTGAGGCCACCATAAAAACTATGCAACAAGGAATTATAGCTAATAAAAGCATAAAATGAGATAACCATTATAGAATTTGTCCCAAAGTCAGAGAAACAATAAAAAAAGTCAGTCTAGGGAAATTTAAAAACTTGCCCAAGATTAAGCACTAAAGGGTGGCAAGGCTATACCTGGCAGCCAGAATATCACCACCACCACCACCACCCCCAGGGCTCCAGATCGCTGCGTGTTTGGACTGGGGTCCCTGTTTGCTTTTGTTGCTGTAATGAACTTGGGAAGAAAGGGGGTTTTTGGCTTACACTTCCACATCACTTTCCATCGCTGAGGGAAGCCAAGGCAGGAACTGAAGCAGATACCACGGAGGAATATTGCCTACTGGCTTGCTCCCCATGGGCTCACTCTGCCTACTGTCTTAGACAACCCAGGACTACCTGCCCAGGGATGGCGCAAATCAGTGAGCTGTGCCCTCCCACACCACATCCATCATTAACCAAGAAATGCCCACGGACTTTTGCCTACAGGCCAGTCTTAGGGAGGCGTTCTCTCAGTTGAGGCTCTCGTCCCAGGTGACCCTGGCTTGTGTCAAGTTGACATGAACTACAGCAACCAGTTTTGCCATTCTGAGTGATGTCATTGGCTGTGCCTAATGCCTAGTTTGTCAACTATCAGAGTTTGACATCTGACACATGCCAGTTTGGAGGAAGGTCTTTGTTTTTGCTAGAAGTTGGAGTCTTTAGATTCCAAGGAAGAAATAACTTCCTGTCCTTACCTACAAGTTCTTTCCTCTGCTTTGGAGCAGTTTCAGCTAATGTAGCTTCTCATCGTACACCATCCTGTGAATAATTCTTCTTTTGTCTGTTGGTTTATTTTTGCTTTTGTTTTGTTTAGACAGAGTCTGACTCTAACCCAGGTTGGCCTGGAACTTACTCTATAACCGGCCTAGGACTTGTGGTGTTCCTCCTGCCTCATCCTGAATGCTGGGACTGCAGGCATGAACCACCAACACACCCTGCAAGATGCCTGACAGTTTATTTGGATTTCAGACATGAATTTTATCATGCTCAGTTCTGGCTATTTTTATTGTCCTATAAATATTCTTTTGTTTTGTTCTGGAGCATAGTTTACATTTTATCAGAACAATTTGATCCCTTTTCAGGTTTGAGATTTTTGAAAATTTGGTTGATTGGATTTTCGTGATAGGGTTTCTCCAGGTATCCCTGGCTGTCCTGAAACTCTCTCTGTAGACCAGGCTAGCCTCAAACAGAAAGATCTTTCTCTGCCTCCTAGCACTGGGATTAAAGTTTTATGCCACCAATACCCAGCTTTAGGTCTTGTTCTTGATATCGGTTATTGTATAACCAGGCCAGAGCTGAGTTTAGGATTAATTATTACACTGCCAAGACTTAGCCGTCTTTTACACCCTGACCCGTACTCCACGTCCTTTGTGAAGCCCAGGCCGTTTCTCCTAACCTGTAACTTCCTCGTATGCATGCACGTGTCAGTACTCCCCTGAACAGCCCATTCAGATCAGCGGTTCATTGAGCGCAATTCTGTCCTCACTCACAGTCTGCAGAGAGCCCTGGCCCTTATTTATCATGCATACAATGTTCTGTTGGCATGTGCAGGCCAGAAAAGGGCACCAGATCTCATTACAGGTGGTTGTGAGCTACCATGTAGTTGCTGGGAGTTGAACTCAGGACCTCTGGAAAAGCAGCCAGTGCTCTTAACCGCTGAGCCATCTCTCCAGCTCCCCACCCCCACCCCTTGGACTAGTTTACAAGACAAGAGGAAGGTTGACCAGATGGCTCAGTGAGTGGGAGCACTTTTGAACAAGCCCGACATTCATGAGTTTGAACTTCCAGTTCCACAGTGGAAAGAAAGAGCCAGCTCCCATAAGTTGTCCCCTGACCTCCACACATGAACTATGCCACACATACATCATACGCATATGATAATACAAAAATTATAATAGAATCCGGTTCCTGTGCTTTTTTTTCCTCCCAGGACCGGGACCCTCACATGCTAGTCAAATTTTCCACCACTAAACTATTTCCCTGTCCCTTTTTCAAAGTTCGAGTTAGGCCAAGTTACTTAGGCTAGAGTTGAACTCATTTTGTAGCCCGGGTAGGCTTTAATAACGTGTGATTATTTTGTCTCATCCTCCCAAGGAACTGGGATTTTACAAGCCTATGCAGCTCACCCTAGTCTAAGAAATCTAACCGTGTTTTTTGGTAGAAAGTTTCATTTAGCCCTGTTTGGCCTCAGTCTCATTGTATAACTGAAGATGACATGAAGTCTCTTTTCTCCTGCCCCTGCTTCGTAGATGCTGGGATTACTAACATGCAAGAAGGAGAGAGAGAGAGAGAGAACAACCTAGTGAGGCTCTGATTTAGTTACTCTTCTGTTTCTGTGATAAAATGCAGTGAACAAAATCAACTTAAGGAAAATGTTTGTATTGGCCTGTAGTTCTAGAGGCTAGAATCCATCGCGGTGGGGAAGGCAGGCGTGGCAGCAGTAGTGATGTAGTTCTAGAGGCTAGAATCCATCATGGTGGGGAAGGCGTGGTAGCAGGAGAAGGATGCTGGCTGATCACCCTTTCTTCCACACAAAGGAAGCAGAGGGAGCAAGAACAGGAAGTGTGAGGAGACTCTAAAAGCCCCCCTCCATGATATACTTCCTCTCTCAAGTCTCTCCCTCCTAAAAATTCTATAATAGTCGCAAACAGCGCCACCAACTGGTGACCAAGTGTTCAAACACATGAGCCATGGGGGAACATCTTCCATTCACCACAAGCCCTATCTCACAAAAAATAAATAAACAAACAAACAAAAAAACACAAATAGTGAAGGCTGGGGACTTGCGGGTCAGTGGCAGAGCACCTGTCTCTCATGCACAAGGCTCAGGGTTCAGTCTTCACCTTGGAAGAGGGAAAAAGGAAGAAAAGGATGGAGGGCGGGGAAAGTAGTTAGCCAGCACCTGGAAGATTTCTGTGCTCAGTGCAGTAAGCTGCTGGGATCACATCACGGTCCTTTGTGGCAAGAGTCATAGTTCATCTTCATAGCAGGTGGCTTTGATAACCTCACTGTCTGCCCGAGCATCCAGTAAGCGCTATTCTCATGTCCTTGTCAAGTAGAAGACCCATCCCAGGAAGTTTAGGACCATGATCTCCTTCCCGGCTAGCATGTCAGCCTTTGGATGGCCTCTGTTCTCTGTCATTTGGCCCGTTTCACTCAGTTTGAACTGAGACATAGTTAGATCAGACCTGCTATTCAGGATCTCGGTTAGCAGCCTCTGGAAGTGCTCTCCACACAGATGCAGCCTGATTGTGGCGGGTTAGTGTTTCCCTTATCCATCATTGCTGCTGAGATGGGGCATGTCTGCCATTGAACTTGACGTCTAGTAAACTCTCTTGTTCGTCTTCTTAGCCAATCATAACATTAAACTGTCCTGTCTTTGCCCACAGTATCTCCCTCTGTCAGATCAAAGTCTGTTGCATGCTTCCTCCGGCAACAGGAAAATGAAGCCTGCTCCCTTCTCCCTTTCTCGTTGCAGCTGTCCCCAACCTGTTCATGCTGGAAACCGTGGACTCTGTGAAGCTGGCAGACAAGGTGAACAGTTCCTGGCAGAAGAAAGGCTCTCCTGAACGACTAAAGGTGATGGTCCAGATTAACACCAGTGGAGAGGAGAGTAAGTGACCAGCCCTGACTGTAAATATTGGGTGCCTTAGGTGGCTGGAGCTGAGGTGGGGTAGGGGGTAAGCATCTGATGGATGTAGACATTGTGGGGAGACACCCCAGCCTCTCAGTTAGCTGCTTTGTCACGACTCAGCAGTGTGTTGACCCTGGTAGGTGCTGATTTTGAGCAATGATAACTCTGATGTCCTAGCAACCGTCAGAGATCTTCATCGGTTCCCTCCTGAAAGGGATTGAGAGCTGCATACATAGTACTCCTTGGGTCTCGGGACAGTCACACAGTGTTCCATCAGGCCAGACTAGAAGAGAACCTGCTGAACCCCAGTGAGGGGCTGCCTCGCGGGGCCCGGCACACCTGTGCTGCAGCCGTGAGTCACAGAGGAGCGTGGGCTTGGACATCAGACAGATGAGTGCTCGCGCTCCACCGCTTTCCGTCTTTAGAGCTTTCTGTCAGTTACCTCATCTCTCCGTACCTGAACTCCTTTGTGTGGCAGTGGCATGGGGGGAGCCCCCTGTCAGGAGTATAGTGAGGGTTCAGTGCCGTGATGCAGAACCCTGGACGTCTCTCTTGCTTGCTCTTTGCTAGGAGTGAATGCAAGGCATTAGCCATCTTCTAAGCGCTCATGTGTAGCAGACTTTGGCATGGAGATTTCCAGGTGTGCTCTAGAGTCAGGCTGCCTGGGCTCAAATCTCAGGTTCACAATTCTAGTCTTCTGACCTTAAAAGGGACTTAGCCTCCCTGCCTCAGTTTCTTCTGGAAGCTGATACAAGTAAGAATGCTTGCAGTGACCATATAAAATGTAAAGTCTTAGGGCTGGCAGTGTTCAGTAGACTTTAATGGTTAATATATATATATATATATATATATATATATATATATATATATGCTCTCTGACTGGCTACGTGGCATATAAGTAGATACAAAACTGACTCCAGAGTGTCTTTATTACATTTCTTGACAATTAGCTGTGATTTGTCCTAATTAAATCATAGTGAAAATTCCTGACAATTCCATTTAATAAACGGGGGCAAAGGCAAAGCAATATTAATAGTTATTAGACTACATAACATAATTATCTGCTGCAGCTCCCCCAGCCGTTCTCAACTAGTAAGCTAAGCTTTGCAAATACACAGCCCCGAATTTATCACGTGTATATAATTTTTTTTGCATTACTATTAATAAATTGGTGAAACCATACAGATGCCAGGATTAGAAAAAAAGTTCTGAGATTCTTCTAGGACATTGTCAATGTGACTCTCCCTAATGTTGCAAGACTTATGTTTCTATTTCTGTGATAAAACACCATGACCAAGGCAACTTACAGAGGAGGGGTTTCTTTGGTTTACGCTTCCAGGGGGATAAGTTCCATGGCTGGGGAGCATGGAAACTGGAACAGAAGCTGAGGGCTCACATCTGAAGCCACAGACATGGAGGAGAGGCAGAGGAGTGACACCTGGCTTTGAAACTCCCCCATCTGGCACCCATGACATCTGTCCAGCTGGGCCACATCTCCTAGACCTGGCTAAACAGTGCCAACCACTGGGAACGAAGCACTCAAACACATGCGTCTATAGGGGACATTCTCGTTCAAACCACAGCGTTCTTTTCCTTTTCTGTTTCCATTTCCCTAGCCATTCTCAGTAAGAACCCTGTGGAGTACGGCTTAGTGCGTAGAGCCTGTGAATACAGAGCCATGGGTTCAGTCTCTGGCAGTGAAAAAAAAGTAGAATCCATGGGCTAGAGAGATGGCTCAGCGGTTAAGAGCATTGCCTGCTCTTCCAAAGGTCCTGAGTTCAATTCCCAGCAACCACATAGTGGCTCACATCTGAAATGAGATCTGATGCCCTCTTCTGGCCTGCAGGCAGACACATAGACAGAATATTGTATACATAATAAATAAATAAATATTTTTTAAAAAAAAGTAGAATCCTGCAGTGGAGTAAAAAGAATCTGATCCAAACGTAGACCCGAGTGGAGAGAGGCAGGTGTGAAGAACTGCACCTACCCAGTCCCTCTGTAGGCTTGGTTACTCCATCAGGTTTCCATCCAAGCCACCTCTGTGTACGGAAGGGATAAAAGCATAGACTTCTTCTGCCTGCTTAAGACATATTGGTATACCCATCCTCTGTTTCTTTCTGTGAAGGTAAACATGGCCTTCCGCCTTCAGAGACCATAGCCACGGTGGAACACATAAAGACCAGTTGTCCCAGCCTGGAGTTCGTGGGGCTCATGACCATAGGAAGCTTTGGACATGATCTCAGTCAAGGACCAAACCCAGACTTCCAGGTACTGGGGTCAGGATGTAGCCCACTGGTTGGGTGTACCCAACACGTGCAGCGCCTGTGCTTGATCGCAGCCCTGGTGGGATGCAGTGGCATTACACCAGCTTACAGGGCTGGCTGTGTGGTGTAGGCGGACTGCCAGTTCCCAAATAACTGACATGGAGACTTAAGATTAATTTTAAGTGATCAGCCAATACTCAGGCTTGTTACTAGCTAACTATTACATTTAAATTAACCATATTTCTTAAGCTTTGCCATGTGGTTTGGTCCCTTTTCTCAGTACAGCATGCCCATCTTGTTTCCGTTTCTGCTCACAACTCCTGGGACCCCACCCTTCTTCCCATCATTCTCAGTTTGGTTGTCCCGCCTATACTTCCTGCCTGACTGCCAGCCAATCACCTTTTTATTAGCCATAAGAACAACACATTTTTACAGTGCACAGGATTATTCCGCAGTGTGGTACTTCAGGGACCTCTCAGAACACAGCCTGTCAGGTGCACTATTCCAGCCTCTTCTGAACTCCCCCTCCCCCGAAGAAAAAGGAAGACCAGGCCCCCAGACACACAGAGACCTTCCTTAAATCAGTTTTAACTTTGTTAAGGCAGTTTTTGGATTAAGCTTTTCCTTCCTCTCTAGTAACTGGCAGTTTGCATTTTTATTGTTGTTGGGTTTGTTTTATTTCACTTTTGGGTGTTGCTAGTTTTTGTCCCCACTGCTTGAAGTGGAACCTGGGGTCTGGAACATGCTGTGAACATGCATTCAACCCCTGAGCCACACTCACCCTGGCCCTGGTGATTTTCTTGAAAGTAGGAAACATGACTAAAGCACTTATAGCAACTTCTGATAATTATTACCCACCTCAAAATCGTGAAGGATAGAATCATCAGAAATGGTTTGAAGCTGGGTGGTAGTGGCGCACACCTTCAGTCCCAGCACTTGGGAGGCAGAGGCAGGAGGATCTCCCATGAGTTCGAGGCCAGCCTGGTCTACAGAGTGAGTTCCAGGACAGGCCTCAAAGCTACAGAGAAACCTTGTAGGGAAAAAGAAAAAAAAAAAAAAAAGGAAGGAAGGAAAAGAAAAGAAAAAAAAAGAAAAATTTTGGTTTGGTAACTTTCCTTTTGTTTCCATTTTGATGGGTTTTGCTTTTCTTCTGTTTTGTTTGTTTTGCTTTGCTTGCTTTGTTTGGAGACAAGTTCACCACCCTGCATAGCCCAGGCTGGCCTTGAACTCAGGCTTCTCCTGCCTGCTCCCAAGGATTATAGTTGAGCAGCACCATACCCGGAAAGCTTGGGCATCTTTTGACATCCCAGGAAACAACCAGAATAAAATGGTAACCCTTATGTTTCGGTCAGGTGTTACTGCGCCTGCGGCAGGAGCTGTGTGAAAAACTGAGCATTCCTGTGGAGCAGGTGGAGCTGAGCATGGGCATGTCCGGGGACTTCCAGCATGCTGTAAGTGTCCTTGCCAGGCGGCCGAAAGGGGCAGGGTAGGTCCTGCCATAGGTTTTAAATGCCTCGTCCTAGACACAGTGATTCAACCTTTTTAACATTTATGAAAACTACACCCAAATGCTTAAAACTCCACTACATGTAATCTGGGAAAAAGTTGAGGTGTGGTTCAGGCTTTACTGAATGTGTTACACTGCGGGTTTGCTCTCCCAGCACCAAAGAAGAAAGGGAGAACTGATTTTCAAAGGCATTTCCTATATAAGCCAAGGCAAGTGCCGTGCTAGCAGCTCACTCGCCTGAGTTCCTAGGGTGGTGAGTAGTAACTAGGGACCGTGCACACGCCTGTAGTCCCAGCACTCGGAAGACAGAGTCAACCAGGCTGCTGTTGAGTTTCAAACCAGTCTGGTTCTCCATAAGTCCCATGCAAGCCAAGGCTACATACTGAGACCTTGTCTTAAAAATAAACAAACAACAAACAAATAAATAAATGCAAAGTTTTTTTAAAAAATCCAAGTACAAAATTGCATTTGGGGAGTATCATATACATTACAACAGTGTAAAATTCTAAACTTTACTTAGGTAACTACTTGTTCTTTCCGTTTGGCCAACCATGGCCCCTCGGTCGCGGGGTGCAGGGCAGCTCTTGCTGTGCCGCTGTCCCACACCCCAGTCTCTGCCTTTCTTTGTCCCCACATGATAAACTGCCCAGCCACTGTGCAAGCTTCCTTTCTCTCGACCCCTGCCTGAGCGGTGGCCCTGCTCCGGGGACTCCAGAGCGCCTAGCCATCTTCAGCTTGGTCATTCCTTACGCAGCCTCTGCACAGGCTACATTTAGCCTTTGAATCTCTCCTCTGCGCCCTCTTCTCGCCCACAGATTGAAGTGGGATCCACAAACGTCCGGGTAGGAAGCACCATTTTTGGCGAGCGGGATTACTCCAAGAAACCCACCCAAGACAAGACTACAACAGACCTGAAGGCCTGAGTGTCGGTGACACAGGATCAGGGGCCAGGACAGCTGAAAGACTATGCACCAGCCTGGGTTTTCCGTCTGGTGTCCGCATGTTCCCAGTCACACTCTCCTGTGGCCCGGATAGAATGCTGAGGATCAGCTGCGTTGATGGAAACCACCCGTGGTTCACCTCGCTGTAGGAGGCTCGATTCAAGCAGTGGCTTAGGCTTGAATTTGAGGAGTTCCAAGACTTTAGAATTGACACCAAGTCAGTAGCCAGGAACCAGACACTACCAGGAGCACCCCAGCCTCTATGAATGCCTTTCCTGGAGAGCTTCTGGGTTACTGGTGTCTATAATCGAGAAGATGAGGGGGTTCCCATTTGCCCTTCCACCCTGATAGAGTGCCCTACAGTTGTTCTGACAAGTCCCCACTGAACACTCACTCGCTCCTCTGGAACGGGATGACTTTTGCTGCCCTGGCCAGTGATGCCTCTAGCCACAGCTCCTCGGTGGCACTGACCTGAAATTCCAGGGTAAAGAGCAATCGGGCATTTCTGACATCCTGCTGAGAAGATGAGACTTGGAGCTTGGTCCTTGGGGACTACAGTGTTATAGTGATGGAAAGTGAGGGTTTCTTCTCGATCATGATCAGTTTCAGCACATGGTTTCAAAGGCCTGACTCACCTTCTTTTCTCTGGGGACTTATTTCCCAGGTGTACTGATCGCACCCCAACACACACACTTTATTTATAAGCCAGAGTTTTGCAGCTCTTGATTGTTCGTAATGTAACAAAATCATCACAGACCTGGAAGCAGCTGGGCATGGTGGCGCCTGCCTATGACTTGGCGTTTCGGAGGTACAGGCAGAAAGAACAGATGCTAGGCAAAGGCCAAATGAGACCCTATCCAAAACAAACAAACAGACAAATAACAGAACAAACTTGGAAGCACAATTCTCCAGTGACCACAGAAGAGCTTTGGTAGGGGCTGTTTAGTTCCTGATGGATGTTCTCTTGTTTACTCCAGCCCTTGCCCTTCATTTAGTTACCCAGTAACTTCAGAACCTGCTGCTGAATGTAATTTCATAAATTTAAACCATTACGGTTCTTGTTCTGTTTCAATCAAAGCTAGTGTGGTATTTCAGAGTCTTAAACACGAATGTGAGCTTGAATTATACCATCTGTGCCAACTGCAAAGTGATTAAAGGTTTATTTTTATGATCCGGTGTTAATGAGTGGATGTAGCGAAGGGGGCATCAGGGCTGATAGGAAGCAGCTGCGTTCGTTTGGGGCGTCATTGCCAGCTGGCTCTGGAGAGGCATCTCCTTGAGTCAAAGGTGCCACCAAGGCCATGCCGTATATAAGAAGAGTTCTGAACTTCAAGAGCAAGAAAATGTCTTTGTAGAGCTTCATGACATGCCTGTAAACATAACACATGGACGGTGGCAAGTTCTAGACCAGCCAGGGCTACATAGCATGTTTCATGCCACCTGGGGTGTATATTGAGGCCGTCTCAAAAACAGAAAAGTGTTGGTTGACGCGGCAAGAATTAGAAAGGAGCCTGCCTCCCGCTGCATGAAGATCTTTTGAGTGCCTCTAGGTGGCGACATTGGTTAACCTGAAGAGCACCTACGCTTGGCTCCATCAGCGGTTTCTCCTACTGGGGACTGTTCAGATTTATTTGTTGTATGAGTAGAAATGGAGGCACGGGAGGACATGTTCTCCCAGGTGACCCATGGACTTTCAGACTCACGGGTGTGTCTGGCAATCTCACGTCCATGCTGACTTGGTTAAGGGATCTGAGGGTGACTCTGGAAACTTTGGGGAAAATGAAATGGTTAAGCAATAAAAAGTCTCCCTGGCTTGTGCCTAGAGATTAATAACACGGCGGAGGAGAAGCCAGGAGAGGCTGTAGCCCAGCTGAAGAAATCCAGACTATATCCAGTGACCCTCAGCAGGATGACTCTCTTGAGAAAATTCAGCCAGGCTATGAAACTGTCTTTTGTTTCATGTGAGGCAGCTGGTCGGGTTACTCCCATGTTTTTATAGCAGCAGTGACAGCATCGGGGCAGGTTTTAGAGTCCGACCCACCCATCCCCCCATGCAGAATTTGCCACTGCTCCCTGACAGCCCATGCCCTGGGTTTTGTTTTGGAGTGTGTGTGTGTGAGCATGCGCACACACACACATTTCCTGTATTAGGGTTCTCTAAGCAACAGAACAGATCGTGTGTGTGTGTGTGTGTGTGTGTGATTTCTTAGAGTGGCTTACAGGCTGTGCTTCCTGTCATCCAACAACACATGTCTCCTGCTGGAAAGGCCAAGGATCCAGTAGTTTCTCTGTCCACAAGACTGGATATCCCTGGAGTCCCAAGGAGGTCCTAGAGAGCTGCCAGTTTTCAGTGCACATTGGCATGTGGCTTGGGATAGACAAGCTTGCCCGCGAGAGTGGGGCAAGCAGGCAGAAAGCACGAACTTCCTTCTTCCGCGTCTTTGCATGGGCTGCCAGCAGAAGGTGTGGCCCAAACTTAACGTGGGGGTCTTCTGACCTCCAAAGATCCCGACTTCAGCTGCTCTTCCCACTTCAAACAGCCAACCAAGAAAAGCCTCTCCCAGGTGTGCCCAGCCGCATGGGTTTTCGTTACTTTCAAATGTTGTCAAGTTGACAGCCCAGATCAATCATCACGTATCTCATAGCCAGCACCAGGTTTGAGAGGCTCAGGAGACCCCTGGTGTCTACCAAAGATTTGGTATCTTGGGGGCTGGAGAGATAGCTCAGAGGTTAAGAGCACTGCCTGCTCTTCCAAAGGTCCTGAGTTCAATTCCCAGCAACCACATGGTGGCTCACAACCGTCTGTAATGAAGCCTGGTGTCCTCTTCTGGCCTGCAGACAGAATACTGTATACATAATAAACAAATAAATAAATATTTAAAAAAAACCAAAAACAAAAAAAAAAAGATTTGGTCTCTTGGGAGGATACCAGACACACAGACACGTACCTGTGGCACTGGTGACGGGGCCCAGCCCCAGGAGATGAAGTGAGTGCAGTGCCCTGAGGTTGCACCCTGACCTTAACCATGTTACACCATTTTTATATGCACTAATTATACACAGTAATGAACTTCATTGTGACATTCTTGTGCATGTGAAAAATGCATTTTGGTCATATTCACCATCCATCACCCTCTCTTGATCACCTCCCACTCCTGCTGGGTCCCTGACTCTTCCCAGCCAGTCCCTTCTACCTTCATGACTTTTGTAAAACCCCCCCCCCATCGTATACCTTAATGCAAACCCTGTACCTGACCCCACTCCCTTTTTTAAGCCTTCCTGGTCTATAAGTCTTCTTCCTGTATTCTTTCTCTTTAAAAATAAAATATTTAAGCTTTTTAAAAATTTTATGTGTATGGGTGTTTGACTTGAATGTGTATATGTGTACCCCATGTGTGCCTGAACACATGGAGGTCAGAAGAGGGTGTAGGATTGTTGAATGGTTGGGAGCCACCATGTGGGTGCTTGGAAGTGAACCTGGGTCCTCCAAAAGACTAACAAATGCTCTTAACTGCTAAGCCATCTCTCCAGCTCCTACCCCTTTAAAAAAATATGAGTATGGATGTCTTGGCTGCATGTGCGGCTATGCACTGCATTTGTGCAATTCCCACAGAGGCCAGAAGAGGGCGTCAGATCCCCTGGAACTGGAGCTACAAATGATTATTACAAATGTGGGTGGTGGGATTCAAACCCAGGTCCTCTGCAAGAACAGCCAGGGTTCTTAACTGCTGAACCAGCTCTCCTTCCCTTTTTAATCTGTGTGTGCGTGTACCTTCATGTGAGTGAGCGAGGGACATGCCCTTGCCACTACATGCGTGTGGAGATAAGAGGACAACCTCGCACGTGTGGCGTCCAGTCCTCACCTTGTTTAAGACCGGGTCACTTTGTTGCTCATAGCTGTTATGCCAGACTAGCTGATCCACAAACTTTCGGGGATTTTTCCAGTCTCCATATCCCATCTTGCATGAGAAACACTGGAGTTACATATGCTTGCTACTGTGCTTGGCTTGGCTTTGCATAGGTTCTGGGGATTTGAACTCAGGTCTTCATGCTTGCGTAGTCTTCAGTTATCCACTAAGCCATCTCCCCAGCCCTGTTTTCTCTCAGGACAGCTTATCAGGTACCCAGGCTATCTGTAAGTATCCCTTTCTGGGATCCAGCACTGAGGCTGGGAGTGAGGACAGGCACATAACCTTGTCTAAGGTCAGAAAAAGCTATCATTGGCTGCTGTTATTATTCGGCAGTGTTAAGACTGGCACCTGGAGGGGTCTCTGCAGGCCACCAAGTCGCATTTGGCCTCCACTGCTGGCTTTAGCCAGTGATAAATAGTGTGTTAGACTTGCAGCTTTTAACTTCAGAAAGCCATATTGCTGTGAAAGAAATGCACATTTTTTGGTCCATTGTGCTAGCTGAGAACTGGTGTATCTTAATACAGAACAAACTCTGAAACCGCAAGCCGTGGGAGTGAGTAGGAAGGAGAATTAAGCCCAGACACGAGGAGAGTCAGTCTCCCCTCATCCCATTTCCCTGGCTGGCACACTCCTCCTCCAGATCGGTTCTCACACAGGCTACAGGGCTCCAAGTGTACAAGACTGTCCCCGCCCAAGCCCTGAGCTGAGGCAGCAGCAACCCCTGTTACCCGAGGCTAGACCTAGACAGGGAAGGGATGAGGGTCGACATCTGCTTTGTACTTTGGAAAGCAAGTAACTCCTACGCTTCCTACCAAAGCTTCAGGAGAAGGACCTTTCCTGAAAGGGGGCTGCGTGGGGTGTTGCCAGGGTGCAGTTGGAAATGGTTTGCTCTGAGAACTGTGACTGTCCTTACCATGAAATCAGTTGGATGCTCTTACATCATCCTCATGAGTAAGGGCCAAGGAATCCAAACCACCGCCATCCTCCCAAATGTTTTACTCGTCTGCCTTCGCTTTGTTCTGGGATCTAACCCAGATCCTAGTGCACGCTAAGCAAGGATACTACCACGGAACCACATTCCCAGCCCAAGAAAGCCGTACTCTTTCCCAACTGTTTTGTATCAACTTGTGTATGCCGTGGTTCTGGATGTTTGAGCAGACGTTCGCTTTTTAAAATATTTATAATTACAACGTGTGTGCGTGACACGCTTTGCGCACAGGTGTGCATGTGGCAATCAGAGGACAGCTTGCTGGGGTCGGGGTTCCCCTTCCACCCTCAGGTCATCGCGGTCACACAGCGAACGCTTCTCCCCACCGCGCTTGCGCTAGAGTCGGCATTTACAAGGTGCTTAAACCTAAGTTCCCCTGTAATGACTTAAGCATCCCCAGGGGCCTCGGAACACTCCCTTCCCTTATAAAGGATTGGACAGGTCAGCTGAAGGAGCCTTTGGAAGGGACAGGAGCGATGACGCGGCGCCTTCCTTGTATTTAATTTCCGCGAGCCTGCCTCTGAGATGCCTCAGCAGCAGGTGGCGCAGTTTGGGCAGTGCCGCGCTCCTGGACTGTTAATGAGTCCGGCTACCCAGTGCCAGTTGCGTGTTAGGTTTGCCTCCAGTCGCCATCCAGCAGTGGCCTGGTTCTGCAGCCTCGGAGCTCAACTCGACTGGGGGCTGCCAATTTCCAAAATAAAATCAACGTGTGACCTTATTCAGCAGATGTACCAAAGAAACAAGCGCAGAGCAGGGCCAATTCTGGAGCCAAAAAGGGAAGATGAGAAGAGGGAGAAAGAGGAGGGGAGAGAAACTTGGCCGGACATGAAAGGTGTCTTGTCCGTCTGTTCCCCATTAGGCGCAATTCTCTCGCAATCTGCAGCCTCAACATAATTCTCTTGACCAGAAACTCTCCCGAGAGATGGTGTCGGAAGGAAAAACAAACAGCGCTGGTCCATCTTCTGACAGCAAAGTCGTTTAAAAACCTATTTGGGGGCAGGGAGAAGAGAGATGTCTGCCTATCAGGGGAGGGCGCTCTCCACAGCTTGCTACATATTGACTGGGCAGGACAGGAAGAGGGACCCAGGGAGGGCTGATGAGCAAGGCTAAGGCTGCCATGCGGGCCGAGTCTGTAGCTTGGTGATAGAGTACTTTACCTGGCGTGCACAAGGCTCAAGGTTCCATCCCCGGCGGTGCAAAGCCAACTAGAAGTGGAAATCACCATGGCGCTAGGCTTTTTCACCCTCCTGAAACATGGAGAAGAACGCAAGA